GTCAAGGGAATGCCATAATTATCTTATCGTGACGAACACAGCTTGTTAAAGATTTCACGAAATGAATATTTCTAAATGTGAGAAAATAGAAAGGGGCCCCAGCCATGTTTCTGAGACTAAATATTTTTGTTACAGAGTCCAATATCTTCAAAACCCCACATCTAAAGGCAGATTTCTCACCATCTGTGCCCTTATGGGCGTATCCGTTGGAGAGCGGAGGCATGAGCTGCTGGTGGCTGCCGGCCTCAGAGTTACTGTAGCCTTCCTGCGGCTCTGACAGAGTTCCCTGGGAGGACAGGTAGCTGGGGATATCTGCTGGCAAATTCATCTCATCTGGAACAGATGGAGAAACATTTTGTTACACGGTATCGAGTTCTGTGAAATAGTCTTATCCCCACAACAAAGATCCTTCTCCAAAGACACATTTCATGGTTTTCAAACCACCACCATTATTCTGTAACTTCAAATAAGGCTCGTTTATTTGATACCACAAATGTCTAAACTGCTCACCTGTGTTGCTGATACTGTAGTCCTCGCTCTTCCTGCGCATGTGATAGATGACAATGACCCAGACCAGCGAGGTGCCCACCACACAGCACACCACCACGATCACCACGATGCCCACGGTGGTCCAGCCGTCTTGGTCGTACCCGGTGCCAGTGTCACAGTTTGGTGACGGGGACACACCGAGGTAGATGTGTCCACGTTCCGTTCCCAGAGTATTCGACATGATGCAGGTGTATTTCCCAGCATCAGCAGGACCAGCGTCCACTATGATGAGGAGCTGGTTGGCTGCAGCAAAGAAGTGGCGCTCGGTGAGCACCAGGGGCCCGTCGTCTTTGGTCCAGTTGAGACGAGGGGCCGGGCTGCCTCCGGCGATACACTGGAGCACGGCCGTTTCACCGCGGGCCACGGTTCTGTCTTCTAAAAGCCGCATGAAGTATGGAGTTTCTGGAAGAGAAGAGGATTCATAGATTTTGATTATCCCAGTTGGATGCCTATGGTCTCAAGTTTATTATAAGGAGAAAATGTTTCTTAGTACAAGTGTTTAAGCCTTGATGGCAAAACTACTCGTTGACTCAGCACATGGCTAAATAAAGTCTCAGAAGCAGTTATTATATCATCCAGACACATTTCAGTTCTCCGTGGACATGGTAGGCAAGTTGCAAGCTCATAGAGTCCTGTTGTGAACCCGGAAATGGTAAGTAGCCCAACGTTTTATATTACAAATCTATAGTATGGGTCCCAAGCACATTGAAACAGCCTGGTGCAATTTACACATATAGCATCATTTGTGTTAATCAGCATTCATTAAGATTGGTTTTAGGGGTTATTGAGGAGGCTGAACCCATTTCTAACCTTTTCTGGATCATTTGGATTGAACCGATTGCTTATTTATTTGAAAACAAGTGTTCACAGTAGAGATAATCATTTTCCTCTGGTGCTCTCTGTATCCAATGGTCGCAAAACTACTCATGGTAGTCAAAATCAGCCAACCAAGAGTACAAATTATGACCACTTAAAATTGCCATTGTTGATCCTGAAAATGACAGAAATGCATTTGGAATCCTCATTACCCCCAAAACTAATTCAAAATTGTCCAATTCGGCCAAACCATTTTTTAACTATTGTCTGCATAAGCTATAATGCTAATTAATTTATGCTAATCGTGTGAAATTGCCCAGTCTGAGTTAACTTCCGGCAGTTTGTAATAATATAAAACGCTGGGGTACCCAAAACATTTCCAAGTTCACAGTGCTGGCAAGTAGACGATGGTATAATAACATTTGCATTTAGATCAACATTAGTTCAAATGGCAGAAGAGTTAACACAAAAACAGAGCATGTGTTATGATTTCACAAACACAAATGAGCAGCCAATTTGAGCGCAATGACTCAGCTGAAATGACCCAGTAGAAAAAAAACATCAGTAATTTGCACTGTTGATCATGTGACTCACCCAGGACGGTGAGAGTTGCGTTTGCAGACAGACTGCCGGCTGCATTTTGAGCCGTGCAGCTGTACACTCCCATGTCTTCAGTCTTCACGTTAGCGATGAAGAAGATGTCGTCATCGGGCATCACGTGCATCCTGCGCTCCCGGGCGGCGGGGAAGTCCGTGCCTCCGTCCTTCTTCCAGGCAATCTGGGGTGATGGATGGCCTTCAGCAGCACACTCCAGCCTGGCCATAGTCCCTGTGCGTATTGTCAGATCCATGGGAGTCTTCAGGAAGGATGGCAGCTCTGAAAGATAAGAGGATATAAAGTCAGGGGATGCACAGATGACCAGGACCAGAACCAGCAAGTTATAGCTTAAAGATTTCCTATCATGCTATTTTTAGGCATATAATATGGGTCTCAGATAGGCTTGGGCGGTATCATTTTTTTCATACCGTCATACCTTGCTGACATCATACCGTGGTATACGGTATATGACGGTATGACTTGGGTCGACTTGAGCGAGGTGGCGTTCGGCGGCAAATAGATGTTTCGAACCGTATATTATATGTTCGGTGTAAAATGCAGCCCGAGCCGGTAGACGCTCGCAAAGTGCCGCGACGTGCGCGCAAGTGCAAAACAAGGGCTGCATACATGACACATTGTGCAAATGGCACATTTTGAGATCGGATACAGGACGCGTTTGTAGATGTCCGACGTTGTTTCCATAGTGAGCTAAGTTAACAATATATCATCATACATAAACATTTTCCGGGAGTAAATACTTGACTTATTGAATAAAGTTTGCTATATTCACTAACTAGTTTGGCAATAT